CCTACACCCCCTCCCTACCTGTGTCACCTCCTCCAGGCCCCTACACCACTCCCTATAATATCCTCTGGAGCCTACAACTCATCGTACCTCTGCCCTCTCCTCCAATCACCTAAAACTCGCTGACACTATAACCTCCTTTGGTCCCAACGACCTTCCACATCTCTCAAATATTCTCCAGTACCCTACTACAACTCTACCTGTTTCTGTATTGTTCCTCCAGCTCTGACAGCCGTCCCCAACTCCACAACCCCTCCCTAGGACCTCCAGCTCTAATCTCCTCTGAATCCTTCACTCGTCGTGTCTTCAACCTCCAAACTTGATCCCTCTCCCTATTTGTAACCTTCTCCAGCCCTACAATCCTCCCCATTTCTTTGTAACTACCTCCATTCTGACACCTGCCCCGTACTGTAACCTCCACCAGCAGCTAAAATCCATTGTCTCTGAGCTCCTCTAATTCCTGCCCCTTGGGAATCCCTCAATTCCCATCACTCCACCATTGGCAGCAGTGCCTCCCACTGCCTGGTACCAAAGCTCTGGAAATTCCTCCCTAAACCTCTCCAGATTTCCCTCCCTGTTCCTTTAAGACCTACCTCTTTGGCTGAGCTTTTAGTCACTGGGCCTATTATGTCACGTAGTTCAGTACCAGGCTCTTTTTTGAAAGTGCTCCTGTGAGGTTACTTGGGAAGATTTAAATACAAACAGTGCAACTTGCTGCTGGTGAAACTTCAGAAAGAAGTGAGGCCAAGCTCAAAGTGCTCCTTACGTTGAGTCATATTGAGACAGTGGCTGCAAAACAGGATGGAAAAAGTCAGTGAGACGCCATTGGGTTTACTGCAAAGAGTCATAAGACTGTAAAGTTTATTTATTCTTTAAAAAAATCCAAAAATCATTGCAATACTGAGCTAACAACTTGATTACCAGTGGACTTTCCTTCTGAAAACATTCCAACAGGGTAACCGAGTTACCATTATTCTACAATTTTTAAAAGAAAACAAGCCCAGGCTTTGCACTTGGTCCCTGAAATGACACTACTTGGCAACGGAAGGCTGACCATCAGAACTGCCCTCTACCAAGTACTCTGCAATGTTGCGATATCAAAACATCAGCACCAGGGCAGTTCGTACGCAGTTGCCACGCAGTTGTTTAAAATTGCTTTTTTTTTTGCAGGCGACATGGAGGAGTTTGCAGGTACAAACCCGTCAGGGACGTAGTGATTACAGTGGAGGATAATACTCGGTCCTGGTATACAATATATAAAATAAAAAAAAAACAAGAAATAAAAGACTAGAATTGCACTTGTTAATTGGTACTTCAATTAAATTATACTAAAAAAACACAGTTTCGTTTTGAAATACTTGTCTTGGTTTCGGCTCCAGCACCGGCTGCCTCATGTTGTCTCAAGGACAGCAGCTGCCTGGATAGCTGGCCCTCCGCGGTTAGTGTTTCAGGATTGTGGTGGGCTCCACGCAGAGCTGGGTGTGAAAAATGACGTTATTTACAATGTCAGCACTGGAATCTTCACCTCTGTCACCTTCGGCTTTGCGGCTGACGTGGCAACACAAAAGGAAAGAGTTACAGAGAGAGAGAGCGAGACACAGAGAGAGAGAGCGAGACACAGAGA